TTATGCAGTCCTGAGAATGACTTGGTTGAGCTTAAATGGCAAAATGGTCAGATTGTGATGCAAGGACAGAACAGTAGTGCTAAGAAAAGCACTGTTCCTAATAATCTTCCGTCGAGTGCCTCAGGGGATCGAGACAAGTACACGGGAAATTCATCAACCTCTAAGATTGGGAAGTTTGGTCTGATGGACTCCATGTTGAATGATATGTCATTAACTGTGCCAACTGGTGAATTAGATTTGATTCAAGAGGATGAAGGGGTGCCTTGGTTAGGATATCCAGCAGATGACAGTCTGCAACAAGATTATTGTGCTCAACTATTACCTGAAATATCTGGCGTGACGGCAAATGAACAGTCTGGACAGAGTGTATTTGGTTTAATAAATAAGAGAGGTAGTTCTGACAAGATGATTGGGGATTCACATAGTGTTCCTGTTCATAATGCTGTGAATTTTGAGCGAAGAAATACATCAAAGGTTTCTCCCTCTTCCAGATTTAGCCCATTAAGTTCATTGCCATCTCAGAAAGGTCATGCGTCGATACCTACCCTAGAATCAGGAGTTTCAGATGTCTTTAGCAGTAAAAATAGCAATACTCCACTATCTGTTTTGGGGGAATCAAATCAAAGTAAAGCTTCAGCTGGTGATGCTAAAAGCAATAGAATTCAAAAGCAAAACATGCCTGGAAATAGGTCCAATTTGTTGAACTTCTCACATTTCTCAAGACCTGCTACATTAGTTAAAGCAGCTAAGCTTCAAAGTAGTACTGGGGGTTCAAATATCTCAGGTTCACCTATTTTAGAAGCTAAGGGAAAAAAAGGAGAAGAAAAAGTGACAATTGGTGACAATCATGTTAGTGCAGCAGCAACTGAAAACTTCTTAACTTCTAAGAAGGATAACTTTCCCCACTATCCAACTAATGGGGTATCTTCCCAACTCGAGTCAAGACCATCTGGAGCCAGCTTTCATGATAGATCATGTCAGGCTGAACAGTCTGATAATGCATTCAGAGATTGTTCAAGTAACAATGACAACACCCATGATCATTTTACCAGTGCTAAGGCAACCAAGGATATTGCCGATGGTGAGAGAAATGTTGAACATGGGGTTGCTTGCTCATCTGTATGTTCTGGTAGCAGTGCAGAGAGAGGATCAAGTGATCAGCCTCTCAACCTAAAGAGAAAAACCCGAGATAATGAGGAGTTTGAGTGTCGAAGTGAAGTAAGTGTGTTGCTTAAAGGCCATTATATTTTAACCTTGTTTTGTAGTATGTTACTTAATTTTCAGGATGTTCAACAGTCTGACAAGGAAATTCTTTGTTCAGGATGTTGAAGAAGAATCTGTTGGTATAAAAAAACCTTGTGCTGCTCGAGGAGGTACAGGTTCAAAGAGAAGCCGAGCTGCAGAGGTGCATAATTTATCTGAGCGGGTAAGCAACCATTACCACAGCATCTGAGGTTTTTGGCAATATTCTGGTTGTAGATCTTGTTGAGACATTCTGGATCTAAATGCTTTCTTATTCATTTTCTGCAAACAGAGGCGAAGGGATAGGATTAATGAGAAGATGCGTGCATTACAGGAACTTATACCCAACTGCAACAAGGTATGAAAAATCTTGGATAAGTTAAAGTCATGCTGACAAGTTTGATTTCTATCGTTATGTCCATTCTTGTTAAAACCATGTCATTAAGCAATCAACTTTACGAGTTAGTCCAAAACTTGAAAATGTGATTATTTATTTAAGCTCAATGCATAAGCTTGAATAAGATTTTTCTGATATTATACTATATATTTCAAGTTCCCTTGGAACTGACATTGTTTGATGAAGTGTTGCTGGTAATCTTAAAATTAGCCATCACCTGTAGTTTCTCATTTTCATTTTTTTGATGGGTTCCCTTATTGATTGCTAGGCGGATAAAGCTTCGATGCTTGATGAAGCTATTGAATATTTGAAGACACTTCAACTGCAAGTACAGGTTAGATGATAGTTTTCTATGCTTGTGCATTTTGCTTCTTAAGAACTGGAAATTGAAGTCATAACTACAATTGCTAACTGCCTCATCCTATTTGTTTATTTTGCAGATAATGTCTGTGGGAGCAGGGCTTTGCGTCCCGCCAATGATGTTCCCTATGCAGCACATGCATGGAGCCCAGATGCCACATTTCTCCCCAATGAGTTTAGGGATGGGTATGGGGATGGGATTTGGGTTGGGTATGCTTGAGATGAATGGTAGATCTTCTGGCTACCCCATGTATCCAATGCCCTCTGTGCAAGGAGGGCATTTTCCCTCACCTCCTATTCCTGCTTCCACCGCTTATCCAGGAATAGCTGTATCTAATCGTCACGTATTTGCACATCCTGGTCAAGGACTTCCAATGTCAATTCCTCGAGCATCTCTGGGTCCTTTGGCCGGGCAACCATCAACAGGTGCTGCTGTTCCTATGAATGTTGCAAGAGAAGGGGTTCCGGTGGAGATACGGGGTGCACAGCCGAATTTGGATTCCAAAACTCCAGTACACAAGAACTCACAGATAGTCCAAAATGCTGAAGCTAGCTGCCCACAGAATCAGACATGCAGTCAGGTGTGTGTTTTTATGAAAGACTCGTGATTTTCTATCTATTGAACAGGAGATCAGGAAAAAGTAGATAAAGAGAAACAAATGATAGAGATATTACAATTGCTTTTTTACTGTTTGAAATAGTTTCTACTTTTTATTTTGTGGTTCTGTTTATAAAGATGGCAAGAGTTCGATGGGATCCTAGGCTAATTCAACAAAGAAAAGATCATTCAATATGAGATGATTGTTTTGTACAACAGTATGCTTTTACTTCATAGGCTGATACTCGTAAATGTAATAGTCAAGGTATAGTTAAGGTATCAGCATTTGGAACTTTAATTTGAGAAGACCATGTGATACTATACATATGTAAATAGATAAGAAACTTGATTTTTTTTTCAAAAAAATGGCAAAATACTGTCCAGACTATAATGCACCAAGGGAGAAATCACCTAGGGTCTTTTGTCTCCTCATTTGCTTAAGGCTTGGTGGACATAGTTATTCAATATCCTTTGCTGGTGGTTAAGCAGGTACAAGTTATAATATTAAGGTGCAAACAAAGCTGGTTCGAATAGAAATTCTAACTTCATCAGGATACTTTTTGAGATATTGGTTTCTCGTGAATCTGGTTTATTTTCTTTCATCTTCTGTTCCTTAAGCTAAGGACTAATACTGTAAAGTTCTGCACCTGTATTATCTGGGGTCAAGTGTATTTGTCTTAACATAATCATTGCTTGCATTCGTATCTGTATATTTTGCTTTCCGTTCATGGTGTAGTCCTCCTTGTTGTCAGATAAAATCAGTGATGTATCATAATAATTTCTATTTCCTGCTATACCAGGTACAAGCAACAAATGAGGTTCTGGAAAAATCAGCACAAAAAAATGACCAACTCCCTGATGTCATTGGTAGTGCAGCAAATAGGTTGACCAACCGAACAAATGTGCCCGGAAATGAAGCTGGTGAGTTTGTGTTAGAAAACGAATAACTTCATTCATTATGCGAAGATGGTTCTTCCCTATTATATTGTGAATCTCTGCCAAAACACCCTTTGTTGTAATGTATATATGGTCCTTCCTTTTGTCTACATGACCTGGAAGATAATTGAGTATTTCACTGAATGCAGGTCCCAGTTTGTAGACAACTGTAGGTTCTGATCAAATGACTGTTTGGTTCCATCCTAGCTGGGAAGAAGTCATTTCTCATTCAGTGGAAGGTAGCCTCTTTTAACTCCGACCGTTGTGCAGTTCTGAGAATTTATTGTTACTGGAGATGAATGGTAGAGTTCCCGAATGAAGTTGGTTTATGCAACTGCCATCAGAATGTAGACAAATGCATGCACAGACCTTGGTAATATAAAGACACCATAAGGTTCTCCTTCCAATGTAACATCAAAGATATCTAAAAGCAGGGAGCAGCATCTCAACAATGTAGTGTGTATCAGACATCAACGTTCTTCAAATAATAAAATAGCGCAAGCATTTCTCTTATATTCACCTGTATGTACTTTCATTATCCATATGAGCCTACTCTTTTCTCTTGAGATCATTTTGCAACCTGGTGTTTGGTAATTTTTCTCTATGCATGCTAAATTTAGTTCTGTTATACGAGGCAGAGAAATTTTAATTATTCAATTGAAGCTAGTTTTTTTTTTTTTGTATGGAATATCAATGTATACTAGGAACAGTTGAAAGTATCAACCAATCAAGGAATTTATAATTGCGGAAGTTAATGATGAGAATATAAGGATTAAAACCATCAAGTTCAAATTCTTGCTGCCTTAAAGTCTTCAACTTGTCAACAAATTTTGTTCCTATTCGCTTAGGCTAAGATTAACAGAAGGCTTTTACTGGGAGAGGGAAAAGAGAATGATTCTTTTCAGCTTAACCTCGATGGGTAGATTTACCTTGTTATGTACCATTGTTATGAAAAAATAAAAAAGCATGCTGATTTGCTTTTGTCATCCTGCTAATGTTCTTGATTCTCTCTATAAGAGCTATAAAGAAAGATAGGAAAAAAGGAGTTACTGCAGCTGTAGTTGAACTTGACACAAGCCTTAACGGTTGGTTAGTATAAATTTTAAAAACTTGAAAGTTGCTAATGAGAAGAAGCTGCAAAGAAGCAGTCCTTTTCACGCCATTAATCCAGCTTGATAGTGAATTTATTGCACATGTAGCTTCTATGCCCAAGCTTTGAATCCATTAATTTCCTCTGATGAGAATTGTGTTGTGCATAGCATCATTTTTAAGGATGAGACGTGTGCGTCTCCTCATCACTTCTTTTATATATGCTGGATCCTGTATGCATATATACTTTTTGTTTCCCAAAAAATGGATACCACATTTACATTGGATGTGCAGACAGTCCCACATTTATACGACTGACTACACAAGTAATCTCATAAATAGAGATTTTTTAACCATGACAAGCAACAATAAAAAGGCTTTGCAGCAAGAACAAGCCTACATGTAGAAAATATGACACTTTATGTACATCATTATCCAATCAATTGAATAGGTTTCTCCACAAACTCACAAACTGAATCAAAAGTCAAATATTGACTAGAAAGCACAACTATACAATACCTATGACAAACACTAGAATCATACGACATCCCGAACAGAGCAACCAATATATCTGACCCAAAAAAATGAAAAAAAGGTTTAGGAAAAGAAAAAATAAAGATCACACAACTAATAAAACAACTCACTTATGATCATTGTAATGTTTCTTCCCTTTATCTTATTTGGTTTTAACTTCATTCTTTGTATCAGATTTAGAGCCGGGAGACTTTCCAATGATTGCTTTCTTAGCCTTCACAAGAGACTGCTTCACCTTGGACATAAGGTTATTTGACTGCTTTGTCTTTACTGGTACTTCTTCTGTAGTTTTCTTGTCTTCACCATCCTTAGGAGCTTCTGTTTTTGCTGTCTCCTCAACTTCTTTCTCACCTTCAGCAGTCTTCAGATCTTTAGTCTCTGTCTCCAACTTCTGAGCGTCTTCAACTGATGGTTCAGCAGTAGCATTCTCATCCACTTTCTTCTCAACTTCTGCAGCTTCATTGCCTTCAATTGTAGGAATTGTGACCTCCTTTGAGCTCCCATTTTCCGCAATTTGTTCAGTGTCTCTAGAACCAATCACCACTTCTGGAGCCTTTTCAGCAACTTCAGATGTTTCAACTCCCTTTGCTTCTGGTTCAGCTAATTCTTCAGTTGCAACACTCTTCTCCACCTTCTCATCTTGACCAACAGTTTTCACATCCTTTATTTCTCTTTCGACATTTTCCACCTCTTCTTTTGGTGGTGCTTCAGCATCTTTAGCCTCTGGAACCAATTCCACATTGTCTGCAGCAACTTCTGTAGGACTTTCCTCGTCCATTTTCTGCATGAGAGTTTCTAAAGTAGTTGAGGTTACTTGTTTTGAGCTCTCTGGAACAACAGGTTCCCCTTTTGGGGACTCTTTTACCTTTTCCACTGGAATCGCTTCTTCATTTCCGGTAACAGCCTCGGCAGCTTCTTGCTCAATCTTTTGAGTAGCTTCAGTTGGCTTTTCCTCTACAATGGGAGCTGGCTCTGAAGCTTCTTCCTTAGGTTCTGCTTTTGGAACTTCTGCCTCTAAAACTTTTTGCTGTTCACTGGCCTCTAAGTCTATTTGCTCCTTGTTTTCCTCAACAGCCTCAATTGAAGTTTCCACAATGTCAACTGTAGCTGGCTGCTTCTCAGGCTCTATTTTGGATTCTTTGTCTAGAGTTTCAACATTTCCAGCCTCTGTTTGGACCTCTGGTTCACTTTTGGTAATATCAGCAACTTGATCAGGAATAATCTGAGCTTCTGGCTCAGGGGCAGATTCCTTGGTTAATTCAGGAATATCTTTGGTAGTGACATTCAATGCAGGTGTCTCATCTTGTTTCTTAACTTCTTTGACAGTAGGAGGCTCAATTTCCTTGTCTGTTGTCTTTTCTTCTGATTCTGCTGAAGTTGCAGGTATGCTTGGTAATTCCTCAGCTTTTGGCTTCTCTGCATCGTGAGTTGTGGCTAGTGGAGAAGGTGGTTCATCAACTTCTTTCTCCTCTTCAACTGTTGGGGGCAGTGGTTCATCAGCTATTGGCTTTTCTTCCTCGACGCTTTTCTTTACATCTTCAATTATAGTTACTGGAGGTTCCTCAATTGTTGGCTTCTCTTCTTCATCAGCTTTCTTTACTTCTTCCGCTATTGTTGGAGCTGGTTCATCAGCTTCAGGCTTCTCTTTCTCATCACTTTTCTTTACCTCTGCGATTATGGTTGGTGGTGGTTCCTCTATCCTTGGCTGCTCATCAGCTGTCTTTACTTCAACTATTGTTGGAATTGGTTCATCAGCTTTAGGCTTCTCTTCGTCATCACTCTTCTTCACCTCTTCAAGGATAGTTACTGGTGGTTCTTCTGTTGTCAGCTTCTCTTCCTCATCAGCTTTCTTTACTTCTTCAACTACAGTAGGAACTGGTTCATCAGCAACAGGCTTCTGCTCCTCCTCAGCTTTCTTTACCTCTTCAATTTCCAGGACCTGTGGTTCATCAACTTTTTGCTTCTCTTCTTCATCATTGCTCTTTAGTTCCTCTATGATGGCTGAAGGTGGTGTCTCAACTGTTGACTTCTCTACCTCATCAACAATTGCTGGGGCAGCGTCGTCCGTTATTGGCTTCTCATCTTTCTTCACTTCTTCAGTTATCACTTGGGATGATTCCTCTGCATTTGGCTTCTCCCCGTCGTCAACTTCCACTGATTTTGGCTTTTCCTCCTCATTCTTGTCTGGCTCTTCAATTACTGTTGATTCGCATTTTGTGTCCTCTACTTTTACCACTGGTTCAGTAGAAGAAACCACTGGACTTGGGGAATCTTCATTCTCCTTGGTAAGGGGAACACTCTCTCCTTCCATAGTCTTAACCTCTTCAGGCAGCACTTCCTTCTCAGCTTGCTGCAGCGGTAAATATGAAGAAGCAATGAGAATAGAAGAAACTAGAAATCAAATGAGAAAATGAAGAAATTAAGCTTTCAGTTTTGGTGTGTGGGGTAAGGTCACTATCAGTTTCTTTGAAGAAACTTGATGTAACTGAGTTGGTAACATAAATCTGAACTAGTTCAAAAGAGGACAAATTTAGGGAAACACATGGTAATTTCCTCATCAGTCACAAGTCACAAAAAAGATTGATACTGACAAAAAAGCACCCTTGGCTCTTTCTTTGGTGAACTCAGCATATAATACTACTAACTTTTGTCACATTCAAGTTACTTCCTAAGTCAAAAGGATGATGAATGAAGTAAACAGCCCACAACATCAACACAAAAGCAAGATTCCACCATAGCTATCAAAAATTTCATTTCAATTCTTCTGTCATGATATCATGAATAAAAACTAGAGAGTAATTTCATCATCTTCCTTAGAAAAAAGTCCATGGTTTTCTGTTCTGTAGACTAGTAAAATTCACTTGTGAACACTAAAGTTCTCTGTTTTTAATTGCTTACTGATAGCAGCAACCAATAAGGCTCAAAGAACCAATCTGTTCTGTGCTAGAAAAACTCAAAGATCAAAATTTACAAATATGAAATCTAGAATTTACTCTCTGCTAATAAAACTCAAACACATAACAATAGCTTATGATAAAGCAGAACAAAGGATATATATGCTGCAAAACTCTTATGTATAAAACTAAAACCAAAAAGTAACAGAAGACATACATATCTGGTAAAAATAATTAGCAAGAAGAAGAGAAAATTCAGAAGAAGCTTACCTCAGAGACAGTAGTTGGATGATCTGATGAAACAGTATTAGTAGCCATGTATAGAGATTGATGATGAAGAATTGAAAAAAATGATCCTTCTTAAACTGATAAACAAGTTTGAGTAGAGTAAAGAAAATAAAGAAAAAGGGGTAGTAGACAAGAAAGGAAAAAGAATGATATGGTTGGCAATAGCCCCCAAAAAAAAAAGGCTTATACACAAAGTAAGTAAGTAGAGCAAACCACACTCTCTCTGTGTCTTGTAACCCCACAGGCCACAGCCAGCCCTTTTGAAAAAGAAGAAACAGGGTGGACTGATGTTCACATGATGAATGATCTGTCACTCACTTGGTGGAATTACTTTTAAAATTTTAACTAATCCTATAAATTTTTTAATTCACTAATACTAATTATGATGGAAAGACAACTTTAAATTTTGAATATAAACAAAAAATAAAGTATTAAAATAACTAGGCAAAAAAAGGAATATAAATTATGTTTGGGAAAATATGAAGAGGTTTGTGTTGTCAAGAATTGGATTGTCATGGTATGTTATGGGACCATTAGTTTTAACAGCCTAATACTAATAATTTGGGAAACAGTTGTCTATTTTGTCCACTTACAGAGAGTTGCAATTTGAAATTTCATAGATACTTTTCTGGCTTTGGCCCCATTTATTTTTCAGTGAGGCTAACTTCTCTTCACTATAAAAAAGAAAATTATTTTTCGGCATAGGTCCATGGATGGTGTCTAGTTGGTTTTATATGTATGTTTGTAATGAAAAAAAATATGCAATTATGTACTATGAAGAGGAGGTCCACGACGTTTTAAAAAGTTATCTTATGATTATAAAAATTAAATGCTCTTTAAAGGACATTCCTAACAATCGAGAAACTAATTATATGGGTCTTACATCTTCTAATCTTGTATGTTATTACAAGAAATTTTCCTCATTCACATAAGAAGAGGTGAATCGAGAATTTAGGGCATGAGGCACCTTTAGTATGTCAATTACTAGCTGTAAAGTTTTGCATAAAAATATAACATTTTTTCGTATTTGAACTCCACATGTTTTCATATTTTGAAAATGATCGATAATAGTATCATTGATAGAAAGAAATTAATTTACGAATTAGAATCAGAAAAAAAAACTTTTCTTTCTTCTATTAGTGTTAACGTAGGGGAAGAACATAGAAGAGTAGATTTTGGTTTTTCTTTTTTTGGTGGGTGTGGTTACGGACTCAAGAATTAAAAGAGGGAGAAATAAAATAAAGCAATAAAATAAAACCAATTATAACTTACACCGCCTTTCATGTTTTTAAAAGGACCAGTTCTCGAATACGTGCAATGCACGTGTATTTCACATTAAGTAATTTCTTTTAAGAAAATAATATCACTTATATGAATTTGAGAGGAAGATTATTAAAATCAATGTTTTTCATGCATTGCAACACCACATTAAACTAATAACTTCAAATCTTGTATTAAACCTCATATAATCTCATATATAACATTTTTTTTCTATAGTAATACATGCAATTACGTATATTAAAGTGTAAGATAAATTAAAGAATAAAAAAATAAAGACACAATAATTTTACTAATTAATCAACATCACTTGATAGGTAAACTACCACGAAATGGTTCTTTGACATTGTTGCCTCAAATATGCAATCGGCTATAAGAATCTCAAGTTTTCAATTGTATGATATAATTTGAATAGTAATACACTTATCAAAATTATTGTGCAAATCAATTGGAACTATATTCTTTTTTAAAAAGAAAATGTTATGTGTATTTATATAAAACTTAATAGAGTACATGAAAAGTTTTCCAACGGATGAAAATTAAAAGAAATAACAAATTTAAAATTAATGGGATAAATGCATATATAATTAATTATATAGTAAAAGATAAACTATATTAAGGGCTTGACAGATTCATGAACTTCACATTAATGTTTCATAATTTCAGGAAGTTGAAACGGAATCAAAATATTGAATAGAGGACAATTTTAAAAAGATGAAAAAGCTAGCAATTTCAAAACATTGAATATAGGTTGTTGTAATTTGAGTGATAATTAAAATATTACTCCTATTTAATTAGCTTGTGTAACAATTTGAATAATACTACTAATTAGATTAGTTATTTTTATTTATTAAATATTTTTATTAAGTAAAAGGCAAAAAAGTAATTCAACTTTGATAATCAAAATTCATTGAATTTCGAAATAAATATTAAACGAAAAAATAATATATTAAATAATTTCAAGAAAATAAATTAAATTTGATTTTTTAATTAAAAATTATTCTAAAGAAGTGGAAAAGTCATTAACATTTTTGATTAAAATAATATAATTTAATATTTAAATTAAGCAATTAAATATTTTTATAATATTTTAATTTATAATATGGATTAATCGTAATTTAACTTTTAACTTTTTTTATTCTCTCGTAATAATATATGATGAATATTAAAGTGGTGACTTTGAGTCGTCAAAAAAGATGTATTAGAGTTTTGATTGGAGGTTTACTTTGACTGTTCTCTATTCGCAGTTTGTAGTTATTATGAGTCTTGAAAACATTAATTAATTGTTGGATTATGTACTTTTATTAGTTCAAAAGTAACTAAAAAAGAAGTTAGAAATGACTTGCAGTAGGGTAGTCAATCTACTAGTTCAAGTAGAACGGTAGGCAGATAAAATAGGTGAGAATAGTTTAATTATAGCAAATGGTTGGTACGTTAACTGCTAGAGGTGTTTCGACAAAAATATTGAGCCTGTTACATTGGGTTTTGACAAATATATTCCCTATGGTGATATTTTAAATTTAAAATTGATTTCGATATATCCAAAGTTAAAATATCGAAGTCACATATATTGTGATCAAGTTGGACGCATCCAATTATCCTTATCAGTGAGCTGGAATTTGGTGGACTTATTTTATATATAGTATCTGTTTTAGTTTTCTTATTACAAGTAGGCCGGTGTATTTGGTGTGTCAAAAAATATTTTCAAAAAAATAATTGAAGGAGATAGTATTTGATAACAAAAGGTATTTACAATTATCATCACTATTAATTTCAATCTTCATACCGCTGCTCTCTGCAACACTTTAGCCACTATCATCAACGCAAAAATAAACAAAAATAACTTTCTTAGTTGTTATTTTCCTTCTTGCTTTATATGGCACGAGTCAGAAGTACTAAAGAATAAACTATATATTTTTCGCGTTGAATTCTGATATACAATCTTTAAGTTTTTTGAAACAAAATTAACATGTCTTAAAACTAGTTAAAATATAAAACCTACAATAATCGACTATTCAAAACATTTGATAATTATAGGCATATGAAAAAACTGCCATAAAAAAAATACTTATTTCATCCAATTGTGGCAGTTTGGGAACTCATGTAGAATTAAGTTCAGGCAAGGGAATGTGGTGTGTGAGGGAATGTGATGTCCTTCATCACTATATTTTTGTTCAGACAAGAACACTGATTTATACGTAAGTTGATATTCAAATTTTAAGTATCAATATCAAGTGACGGATCTAGTATTTCGAGGTTCTAGGTGCCACACGACCATACCCTTTGAACAGTAGTACAGTTCCAATACTTGCATTAAACAAGTTTCATAATGGAGCTTTGTCAATGTCAATAGCTTTGGCTGATTGGTTTTTCTGAGTCTAGTTCAGTAACTAGAATAAGTATATTTTTACAGCATCCCCAACATTTATCGTCCCTTTTTCCTTCCAGGTAAACCTTAGTACCTGTGCTTGACTTATTATATTTACCAAAGAAGCAGAAAGTCATGTCCCAACAAGAGCAGAAGCACTACTAGAGACCAGCTAAGTAGAATTTGAACCCCAAATTGATGCTTAACCCCCTCGAGCACTTAAATATTCAGAGCTAACACGCAAAAAAGAAAAATTTTGAGCTAAGATTTGGGCAGGGGCTGCGCGTACGCAGGCCCCCACAGCAACAAATTATGACGTAGGCTCGACCACTTGGGCCGACCTTAGGCAGGCACCCCTCCAAAGTGCAATGGAGGTCACAAGCCTAGACCATGGGCCTTATTGATCGCCCATTGACCCCGTCCAGGTAAGTATGTTATCATGTAAGCTCAGTCCATTACTAATACTACCTGTTTTTGCTACACCTTTCTCTTAGATGCCAATGTGGGAGGATTATAATCAAAATGGGAACCTTTTCTGTTTGGAAATAGAAAAGGAAAATTAACAAAGCCTATACATAATTCTCTTTGAATACAAGAAGAAATATGAAAGAATATTTTTCTTATAATTATAAAATTGTGCTTCAACATCTAAATCGATTGCACATGAAAAATATGCATGAATGAGACCCTCACATATAATCCTTTTCAACATTGGGAATTCACATGGAAGTGCAGCCACCTCTGCTTAACTTACTGAATGGTTTTGGCAAAAACAGAGCAACTAACTTCTCCGAGTAATTTTGATCAAGTAAGTTCTCAGAGTTATTATGACATACAAGTGGCAGCAAAACGGCACCCGTTGATGATAATTGTAAGGTTCATTCAAAGAGGCATAAACATAGTTCCATGTGAGTTGCAACACAAAGAGTTCTATACATACGAACCACATGATATTTATCGTTTTCGTGCACATTAACATGTACAGAGGATGTATAAACAAGGCTGAACATAAAAGCTGTAGATTAGGCCATTGAAGATTGAAAGGAAAAATTATTTTTCCGCTCTACAGGTATACAAGCAAAATAAGTGTCTTGCTCTTCTTTCCCAACAAGGATTGAAGCATACAACAGAAGAGCTGACAAAGGCTGAATTTTGTGAGGCATGAGAGACGCTATAATGACTTTGAACATTGTAATACTCAAGCTCACATTCAGAAGCCAACAAAGAACAAGATAGATACAAGAAGCATCAAAATCAAGTTCACAAACAACAGCAAGTCTGGAGAAATAATTTATCCTTGTGCCTTTGATCAAAATCACAATTGACCCTCATTGCACATTCTTACAGTTCAAGCAAACATACACTGTGACGCTCGATAAGCAGGATACCCTGTTTATAGTGATAGTTATAACCTTAGTTTACATCCTACTCCAATACCTTCTCTTACCCTTCCACCACCACTCAATTAGCAAGATACCATGCTAAGTGAAAGTTATTCGCACAACACCTTACACTGGATGACAAGAATATACAAGCACGGTTACAGGATTTTTCTT